ATAGAAAGCTGAAACTGGATCCCTTCCTTACAACTTATACAAAAATTAATTCAAGATGGATTAGAGACTTAAATGTTAGACCTAAAACCATAAAAACCCTAGAAGAAAACCTAGGCAATACCATTCAGGATATAGGCATGGGCAAAGACTTCATGTATAAAACATCAAAAGCAATGGCAAGAAAAGCCAAAATTGACAAATGGGATCTAATTAAACTAAAGAGCTTCTGCACAGCAAAAGAAACTGCTATCAGAGTGAACAGGCAACCTAGAGAATGGGAGAAAATTTTTGCAATCTACTCATCTGATGAAGGGCTAATACCCAGAATCTACAAATAACTCAAACAAATTTACAAGAAAAAAACAACCCCATCAAAAAGTGGGCAAAGGATATGAACAGACACTTCTCAAAAGAAGACATTCATATAGCCAACAGATACTTGAAAAAATGCTCATCATCACTCGCCATCAGAGAAATGCAAATCAAAATCGCAATGAGATACCATCTCACACCAGTTAGAATGGCAATCATTAAAAAGTCAGGAAACAACAGGTGCTGGAGAGGATGTAGAGAAATAGGAACACTTTTACACTGTTGGTGGGACTGTAATCTAGTTCAACTATTGTGTAAGACAGTGTGGCGATTCCTCAAGGATCTAGAACTAGAAATACCATTTGACCCAGCCATCCCACTACTGGGTATATACCAGAGGATTATAAATCATACTGCTATAAAGACACATGCAAACATATGTTTATTGTGGCACTATTCACAATAGCAACATTTGGGAACCAACCCAAATGTCCATCAATGATAGACTTGATTAAGAAAATGTGGCACATATATAACATGGAATACTATGCAGCCATAAAAAGGATGAGTTCATGTCCTTTGTAGGGACATGGATGAAGCTGGAAACCATCATTCTGAGCAAACTATCACAAGGACAAAAAACCAAACACCGCATGTTCTTACTCATAGGTGGGAATTGAACAATGAGAACACTTGGACAGAAGAAGGGGAACATCACACACCACGGCCTGTTGTGGGGTCAGGGAGGAGGGATAGCATTAGGAGATATAACTAATGTAAATGATGAGTTAATGGGTGCAGCACACCAACATGGTACATGTATACATATGTAACAAACTTGCACATTGTGCACATGCACCCTAGAACTTAAAGTAGAAAAAAAAATTCTGCTGAATACAGAATCTTGTGTTGATACTAGGTTTTCCTACCTGAACGTAAAAATATTAATTCCATTGTCATTTGCAAGTATTACTTTTTATGACATATTATACTGCACTTAAATTATTTCTCCTTTTAGGTAATTTGTTGCTTTGTTCTGGTTGTTTTCAAGATTTTTAATTTATCTTTGGCACTACTTTTACTTCAACTAAATGGTCAGAATTTTGTATTGTAAGTAAATATATCACTATAGAGTTACTCATGTCTTCAGATTAATTTCTAAGTACCATTAATTGTTTTTTGACATGGAGTCTCACTCTGTCACTCAGGCTGGAGTGCAGTGGCATGACCTTGGCTCACTGCAACTTCTGCCTCCCAAGTTCAAGCAATTCTCCTGCCTCAGCTTCCTGAGTAGCTGGGATTACAGATGTGAACCACCACGCCCAGCTAATTTTTGTATTTTTAGTAGAGATGGGGTTTTACCACATTGGTTAGGTTGGTCTCGAACTCCCAACCTTAGGTTATCCACCTGCCTCAGTCTCTCAAAATGCTGGGATTACTGGTGTGAGCCACTGCGCCTGGCCAGCACCATTAAGTTTTATGAAAACATTCTTAAAATCTATGATAACATATAACAATATTTTATAAGCTTTCAAATAAGAAAATCATATAAATTCTTACAGGAAGTATATGAAAGAAAAAAGGATTTGTAAGAGATAGAGTCTGAACTCAGAAGACATAAGATTTGTGAGAGAAAAATTCAGTGTACAATAGAGAAACTAATTTTGCTTTGAGAATTTGTGAGGTTTCTAGTTTGGTGGTAAATCAACAGTTCTCAGATTTCCTGTTGTGATCCATGATTTTCGTCTCCATTTGAAGATAGGTAAACACATGCATTTCTGCCTGTAGAGTTCTCTTACACCTTTTTCTTTCTATGTTGATACATCTGTATATTCCATTCAATATAAGTTAAAGCCAAGAAAAGTCTCTAAGTGTTCACACTGAAAAAGGGCATGTGCAAAGAAAAACACTGAACAAAATTTTATAAGCAATGATTCAGGATTGTAAAAGTATGGCTTTTAAGTATACTACCATATAATCTTTATTATAACTGTTATAGTACACCAGTAGCTACAAAAAGCAGGACAGAATATAATATAGTAACTATGAGAATGTTATCAATATTTTTTGAAGTTGAAGTCCTTCGGAAAATTGATATGAAATATATTTAGGATCTTTCAGATATGAGTTTTCACTTTTCTCTGATATCTGTGAGTTTTTTTTTTTTTAACACATCAAATAATATTCAAAGTTACTACTTCATTGTAGTATAAAGGTATGCTGGTATTTCAAATAACTGACCAGTTTTTTTCTACTTAAGGAACAATTGATGTAATAAACTCAGAATATTCTTCTTTTAGTATAGACTAATAATGCCCTAAATATGTACTATATACTTACATGCATTACTGTTTTATGATTCAAACACAAAGAGCGTCTTTTAGATTTTCTTCATGTATTCTACATTTGCCATTAAACTTCCATGAAAATAAATTGATATTAATGATGTTCATCTACTATAGAACAACCTCTCATAGCTCTGATGTAGAAAAAATAGACTATATGTTTTTATGTAAACACTAGGCATTAAGGTATAACAACTAATTTGAGAATTGAATTATTGTTTGCTTTATACAAATCTCAAATGTTTTCAATACAAATAAAGTGCTCACTGAATAATTACTTGTCCAAACATCAATGTTTTTGCTCATTTGAAACATATAACAAAATAAATAACTGCTTGGGCTTTAGAGTAATCCTCCATAATAAATATTATTATTTAATGTAAAGTCTGGGATCTGTGCTTTAGTCCTTTTTTGTGTAAGTCCTGACACATTCAGACTTGAGTTTTGATTAAATACTTCCTCCCATTTATTCAGTCTGCAAAGCCTGTTTCCCTATAAACTCTATGGTGATTTTTAAGTTCTAAATTTTGGATAAAACTCTTTCCACATTTACCACAACTATAGATATTCTCTGGTATGAATTATCTTATGTCGAGAAAGGGTTGAGCATTGATTAAATAACTTGCCACATTCTTTACATATGTGGGATTTCTCTCTAGTATGAATTATTTGATGTTGAGTAAGGCGTGAACTATAATTAAAGGCTTTGCCACATTCTTTGCATTTATTGGGTTTTTCCCCAGTATGAATTCTCTGGTGGACAAAAAGACTTGAGGAATGGGAAAAAGATTTACGTTTGTCAAGTTTTTCTCTGGTATGAATTCTGTGATGTTAATTAGGTATGACCTACAGTTAAAGGCTTTGCTGCATTCCTTACATTTGTAGGGTTTCTCTCCAGTATGAATGCTTCGATGTCAAGTAAGGCATGAACCACAATTAAAGGCTTTGCCACATTCTTTGCATTTATAGGGTTTTTATCCAGTATGAATTCTCTCGTGGATAATAAGACTTGAGGGACGAGAAAAAGATTTGCTACATGATTTACATGTGTAAGTTTTTCTCTGGTATGAATTCTCTGATGTTTAGTTAGGTACGACCTACAGTTAAAGGTTTTGCTGCATTCCTTACATTTGTAGGGCTTCTTTCCCATATGAATTCTCTTGTGCTGAGTAAGGGCTGAAGACACTTTAAATGATTTACCACATTCTTTACATTTGTAAGATTTCTCTCCAGTGTGAATTCTCTGATGCACAAGATTTGAAGAATAAGTAAAATATTTGGTACATGCTTTACATTTGTAAAGTTTTTCTCCAGTGTGAATTCTCTGATGCATAGTAAAATGTGAACTAGAATTGAAGGCTTTGCCACATTCTTTACATTTTTATAGTTTCTCTCCAGTGTGAATTATTTGATGTTGAGTAAGGTGTGAACAATGGTTAAAGGCTTTGTCACATTCTTTACATTTGTAAGGTTTCTCTTCATTATGGATTATCTTATGTTTTCTTAGACTTGACAATTTACTAAGGATTTTCTCACCATTATTATATCTGTGTGACTTTTCTCCAACATGGATTTTCTGAGGCTGAGTATGTTTTGATGACTGCATAAAAGTTTCTACACACTTGTTACATTTGGCAGACTTCTCTTGAATATGGATACTCTGATGGATATGGTTGGTGCATTCATGAAAGACTTTCTCACATTTTTTACATTTGTAATGGTTCTGTAGAAAATGAGTTTTCTGATGTCTTCTGGGGTTTATGCCTTGGCTTAATGTTGTATCAGATTTATTGCACTGATTTTTCTCTGCAATACAAATATACTGGTAGAGACCTGCCTAAAGGCTGTCAAAATTTTATCATATGTGTGATGTTTTCCCAAATTATCTATTTCCTGACTTGATTAATCAATGATGAATGAATGAAGACCTTTCTATGTCGATCGCAAGCAGAATGAGGTGTTATTTGTTGGTGAAACAAACTTTTAACAAAGGACCCATCAAATTGATCATATTTAGAAATCACCTCTTCATTTTTAAATCTTTTCTTTTCAGAAATATTTGACTGAACATTTACTCCAATTCTATGTTTTAACTGGTTTATAAGATTATTTGAAATGTGGACTAAGTCACTATTCAGATTTTCCGAATTTTCTTTCAAAGAAAAGGTATATTTCAAAAATTGATGTTGACATTTAGTTGCAGAAACACATGGATTAGAAAAAGCAACTGACACAGATGGAGTTTTTTGTTTTTGACTCTTACAGCAGTGACGTTTTTGTTACAGGTAGTTGTGCTACATTTTGTATGTCCATCACAACATCCGTTGTGACTGCCATACTTACCCTCACTTTCCCACTCTTTCCTTAAGTGTAAATTCTGAGGGCCACAGCTCCCGTATCTATCCAATATTGAGTATCATGAGAAAACATATCTGAAAGATACCAAAAGTTTTAAAAATTCCAATTACTAAATTCAGGTGAAAATACTTTATAAATGTAATATACAAAATTATACCACATTGAGGACACCATGATAGTTGAATCAAAAACTTGAGGTCCCTTTGTTTTCTCAACTGATATATGAACTTAAATATAGTAGCGTGACTAAAGCCAGTTGAGTTTTCAGTGCCTAGGTGAACACAGAGCCAAGAATGGTTGCATTTAGAAGGAAGAAAATTTGTTGTATTTGTGCACCACAGCACAGCGCAGTTACACAGAAATTTTTCACATTCTGTTTGCCCTCAGCTAAGAAAAAAAAAGGATAAAACATATGTCCAAAGTTCTGGGTTATTCTGGGGCTAAAGGTTGTTCATTGCTTCCTTTAATATGTGGTGCTGAAGAAAATGGTGATAGAGTTGAAATGACATGTCGGGTCAACTGAGAACAAAGATGAATGCTTATTTCCACAACAGAAAGAAAGTAGTGACTATGACACTCACCAAAGGGGGAGATGAAAGGCTCTTAAGAGAAAAAAAGGCAAATCTTTTTAATAGGAAAATACACACAGTAGTCCAGAGAAGACATCCTGACAACAGTTTGAAGAATTTCCCAGAGTGACTAGAGTGCCTGATGGGTATCAGTTTTCATCTGTAAAAATGCATTCCATAAAAAATAGAATAGGTAGCTGTTTCTTACTTGATCAAAATATCAGGAAAACCACAAAACATTAAAGTAACCAAAAAACATGGCTAAATCAAAGGACCAAAATGAAAGTGAATCTAAAGAAGTAGAAATCTATTAATTAACATATTAATATCCAAGTGAAGTTAGAGAAGTAGAAATCTATTAACTAATGCTGACACCAGCTCGATTGTGGAGACCCTAACCCAGCAGTGCTAGAGGAATTAAAGACACACACACAGAAATACCGAGTGTGGAGTGGGAAATCAGGGGACTCACAGCCTTCAGAGCTGAAGCTCCAAACAGAGTTTGACCCACATATTTATTGACAGCAAGCCAGTGATAAGCATTGTTTCTATAGATTATAGATTAACTAAAAGTATTCCTTACAGGAAACAAAGGGATGGGCTCTGGCTAGTTATCTGTAGCAGGAACATGTCCTTAAGGCACAGATTGCTCATGCTATTGTTTGTGGCTTAGGAATACCGTAAGTGGTTTTCCCTCCTGGGTGGGCCAGGTGTTCCTTGCCCTCATTCCGGTAAATCTACAACCTTCAACGTGGGTATCATGGCCCTCAAGAACATGTCACAGTGCTGCAGAGATTTTGTTTATGGCCAGTTCTGGGGCCTGTTTATGGCCAGATTTGGGGACCTATTCCCAACAAACTAATTTTAAATTAATTTAAAATATCTATCTTTGCCTTATGGACAAGTTCTTACACTGTCATCAGGCCAGAGTACAATCACAGCTCAGTGGAACCTTGAATTCCTGGCCTAAAGAAGTCACCCTCCCTCACTTTCCCAAGTGGCTATGACTACAGGAATGTACCATCACATCTGAATACTTTTAAAATTCTTTGTACAGACAGGGTCTTTCTAGGTCACCGAGGCTGGTCAAGAATTCTTGACCTCAAGGAATCCTACAGCCTCAGACTCTCAAAGTGCTGGGATAAAACCAGCAATTACGCCTGGCATTCCCTGTCTTCTTTAATAAATGAGGACGTTAAGCCAACAACCATACAAAAGGACAAGGATATATTACATAACGATAAAGGGTTCAATTCAATAAGAATACTTAAATATGCTAAATACCTATGCACCAAACTTTGGAGCACCAAGATTCATAAAACAAGTGATTCTAGTCCTGAGAAAAGAATTAGCCACATAATAACAGTGGTGTACTTCAACACCCCATGGACATCATTATATCATTGAGGCAGAAAATAAACAAAGAAATTTTGGACATCAATTCCACATGACCAACTGGACCTAATAGGCATCTACAGAACACTCAACCCATCAACCATAGAACACATAAATCCTTCATATGCACACAGGACACACTTGATGATTGAACCTATATGCTCAGCCAGAAAGCAAGACTCAATAAATTTTAAAAAAATCAAAATCATACCAACCATACTCTTGGACTAAAATAGAATAAAAACAGAAAACAACAAGCAGATCTCTTAAAACTACAGAAATGCACAGAAATTAAACAACTGGCTTCTCAACAACTTTTGAGTAAACAATAAAATCAAGGAAGAAATCAAAAAGTTCTTTGAAATAAGTGAAAACAGAGAAAACACATACTAAAATCTTTGGGACACAGCTAAAGCTGCATTAAAAGAAGTTTATAACATGAAATGCCTACTTTAAAAGTTAGATCTCAAATTACTGAGGTAACATCATATGTAAAGAAACTAGAAAAAGAAAAATAAGCTGAGCACAAAGCTAGCAGAAGAAAAGAAATAACTAAAATCAGATAACTGAATTAAATTGAGACCCCAAATTCCATACAAAGCATCAGCAAAACCAAAAGTTGGTTCTTTGAAAGGGTAAACAAGATTGATAGACCACTAGCGAGGTTAACAAAGAAAAACAGAAGATCCAGATAAGCACAATGAGAAACAACAAAGGGAACATTGCAATCGACCCCACAGGTATACAAAAGATTCTGAGACTTATGAAGACTTCTATGCACATAAAGTAGAACATCTAGAGGAAATGAATAAATTCCTAGAAACACACAATCTCCAAAGAGTGAATAGGGAAGAAACTGAAACCCTGAACAAACCAGTATCAAGTTCTGATATTGAATCAGTAATAAAAAATCTACCAACCAAAAAAGAGTCCTGGACAAGATGGATTCACAACTGAAATATACCACAAGTACAGGGAAGAGCTGGTATCAATTCTACTCAAACTATTTCAAAAAATGAGAATGAGGGACTCCTCCCCTCTCATTCTATGAGGCCAACATCACTCTGTTACCAAAATCTGGCAAAGACACAATGAACAAACAAAACAGCAGGACAATATATTTGATGAACATAGAAAAGTCCTCAACAAAATACTAGCAAACCAAATCGAGCAGCACAGCCAAAGTTTATTTACCACAATTAGCTAGGCTTTATTCCTGGAATGCAAGGTTGTTCCAGCATATAGAAATCATAAATGTGATTCACCACATAGAATTAAAATTTAAAAGCCGGGCACAGTGGCTCATGCTTGTAATCCCAGCACTTTGGAAGGCTGAGGCGGGCAGATCACCTGAGGCCAGGAGTTCAGGAACAGCTTGGCCAACATGGTGAAACCCTGTCTCTACTAAAAATACAAAAATTAGCTGGGTGTGTTGGTGCATGCCTGTAGTCATAGGTACTCGGGAGGCTGAGCCGTGAGAATCACTTGAAGCTGGGAGGTAGAGGTTGCAGTGAGCACTCCAGCTTTGAGGATAGAGCGGGACTCTGTCTCCGAAAAAAAAAAAAAGAAAAAAGAAAAAAGAAAAAAAAAAATCACCATTTCAATAGATGTAAGATAAGCTTTTGATAAAACTTAACATCTCTTATGATAAATAAAACCCTCAATAAACTAAGCACTGAAGAAACATACCTCAAAATAATGAGAGCCATCTATGAGAAACCCACAGCCAACATACTGACCAGGCAAAAGCTGGAGGTATTCCCTTTAAAAACAAGAACAAGACAAGAATGCCCACTCTTACCACTTCTATTCAACATAGTAAGTACTAGCCAGAAAAATCAGTCAAGAGAATGAAATAAAAGGCATCCAAAGAGGAAAAGAGGAAAGTGACATCATCTCTGCTGATACGATTCTACGTCTGGAAAGACTGTGCCAAAAGGCTCCTAAAACTGATAAGGAACTCCAGTAAAGTTTCAAGATGCAAAATCAAAGTACAAAAATCAGTAGCATTTCTATACACCAATAACATTCAAGCTGAGAGCCAAAACAAGAACACAATTCCATTTACAATAGCCACACACACAAAGAAAATACCAAATACCTAGAAATAGATCTAACCAACGAGGTTAAAGATCTCTACAAGGGGAACTATAAAACACTGTTGAAAAAATTATAGACAACATGAACAATTGGAAAAATATTCCATGCCCATAGAAGAATCAACATAATTAAAATGGCCATACTACCCAAAGCAATCTAGAGATTCAATACTATTCTATCAAACCACCAACGTCATTTTTCACAAAATTAGAAAAATACTATTCTAAAATTCATATGGAACTAAGAGTCCAAATAGCCAAAGCAATCCTAAACAAAAAGAACAAAGCCAAAGGCTTCACACTATCCAACTTCAAACTAAACTATAAGCCTACAGTCACCCAAACAGCAGAGTACTGGCACAAAAACAGACACACAGAAGCAGCACCAAGATGGCTGACTAGAAACAGCAGGGTTTGGAGGCTCCCATCGAAAAGAACCATAATAACTGTGTGAATCCTTCACTGGCAACCAAGGTATCCAGGTTCTCCCATCAGAATTGACTAGGAGGCTGGCATGATCCACAGAGAGGAAGTAAAAACAGTGTGGTGTGGCAGCCCATCTGAGGGCCACACGGGGCAGGAGAGCTCCCTCCTGCCAGCCAAAGCAGGTGGTGAGTGAGGATGCTACCCAGCTGGGAAAAGCATGCTTTTTCCATGGAACTATGCCACCCATGGATCGCAAGATCCCACTTGTGAACTCACACCACTGGGGCTTAGCATCCCAACCCTGGGGCTGTGCAGATTCTCAACAGCCTCTCAGCTGGAATCTGCTTAAGCCTGCCAAGCACCTGGTGGGAGGAGCAACCAGCACCACAGCGGCGGCTGCCTGCTGTCTAAGCCATTTGAGCCCCTTGGTAGAGGGGCAGCAGCCAGCACTGGGACTCACAACTGCCTAATACGCTAAGCTCAATGGGTGGGGGAAGGGCGGCATCCATCTCTATAGTTCCAGGCTGCACTTTTCCCCTTCTGGAGTCAGAGAGGCTGGTTGGCTTGGTCCCAAGATATGTTCCCCACAGCCCAACACACCGGCTGTGGCAGACTGCAGCCAGAGTGCCTCTTCAGGCCTGACCCTGACCCATCCTTCCTGATTGTGCCAGGCTTCCCTGCAGGAACTCCAATAAGTCCAGCAAGAGGCTCAGGGAAAGAACCCAGATCTCCCTGGGCCTGAGCCCCTAGGGAGAGGGGTGATGGCAGTCTCTGTGGACAAGTAGACTTAGCCTTTCCTACTGGTAGTTCTGAGGGATCCAGGCAGCCCAGACAAGTGGGTTTCCCCCCCAGCGAAGTACACCCCTCCACCAAGGGACAAAGTGCTTCATTACACAAGTTCTGTTCCATGTGCCACCCAACCGGGTGAGACCCTCCAACAGGGGTTGTCGGACACCCTATACAGAAGCAATCCTACTGGCATCAGGTTAGTGCCCCTTGAGTTCAGAGATTCCAAAAGAAGGAGCAGGCATGCATCTTTGCTGTTCTCCAGCCTCCCTGAGTGACATCTCCAGGCACAGGAGTAAACCAGATGAACAGTCTCAGGCCTCTGAGCTCAAGACCTGTACATATACATCCAGATGGCCTGAAGCAACTGAAGAACCACAAAAGAAGTGAAAATAGGCAGTTCCTGCCTTAATTGATGACATTCCACCATTGTGATTTGTTCCTACCCCACCTTAACTGATCAATCAACCTTGTGACATTCCTTCTTCTAGGCAATGAGTCTCAGAACTTCCCCACTGAGCACCTTGTAACCCCTGCCCCTGCCTGCAAGAGAATAACCCCCTTTAACTGTAATTTTTCACTACCTACTCAAATCCTATAAAACTGCCCCACCCCTATCTCCCTTTGCTGACTCCTTTTTTGGACTCAGTCTGCCTGCACCCTGGTGATTAAAAAGCATTATTACTCACAAAAAGCCTGTTTGGTGGTCTCTTCACAAGGATGCATGTGACAAATAGGGCCTGAAGTGAA